ACAAAGGCTCTCTCAGAGACATCTGATCATGTTGTCTCATCCAGCTCCTGACTAGCCCTCTGTCTGGAGAATGGTGCTTCCAGTAGCAGGGATGCATCAGCTGTGTACTGCACATAGTCAGATATGCCTGCCATAGAATTGGAATGGACCCTGAGAGGGTGTGATGGAGAAGGGTAAAAAGCCTGTTAAAAGGGAAAAGGGGCAGCTGAGACAGGGAAGCTACAAACTAATTAAGGGCCAGGTGAGTTGAATTAGGCTTCCACAGGGCCTCTTTAAAAGCCTTCCCTCAGCCAAAGGAGGGGGAGAGAGAGTGGAGGAGGAGCAAACAATCCAGGGGTAAGGAGATACAGAGAAGAGGAACAGGAGGAACCTCCAGCCCTGCTAAAGGCTACAGGGGGAGGTGAGGAGCTCGAGCAAGGAGTGTTGAATGGCTCCCTATTCCCACGGGGCTAGAAGAGGGCTCGCTACTCAGCTGTGACTGGTCCAGGGCTAAAAACTCGGCAAGTGAGGGCCCTGCTGCAGCCCTCAAAGGGTGAGAGAATGGATGGAACAGAGGCCAGGGTCTCAGGAGGGGGACTGACCTGGTCTCAGAGGTCCTCAAGTCCAGTCCCCTGCCCTCACAGCAGGACCAAGCACCAGCTAGACCATGCCATTATGGACTAGCCTTGTAGTGTGGCATCACTTCCCCCAGCTTTTGGGGGTCAGCAGGTTTGATTTTTCTCCGCAAAGCATAATCAAAGGAAAGTGCCATTTCATCTTGGGCAAGTGGTACCTGAAGGACGTGCAAAAGTCCAACAGGAATCATAGAATCATAGAATCATAGAATAATAGGACTGGAAGGGACCTCGAGAGGTCGTCGAGTCCAGCCCCCCGCCCTCAAGGCAGGATCAAGCTCCGTCTACACCATCCCTGACAGATGTCTATCTAACCTGTTCTTAAATATCTCCAGAGAGGGAGATTCCACCACCTCCCTTGGCAATTTATTCCAATATTTGACCACCCTGACAGTTAGGAATTTTTTCCTAATGTCCAATCTAAACCTCCCCTGCTGCACTTTAAGCCCATTACTCCTTGTCCTGTCCTCAGAAACCAAGAGGAACAAATTTTCTCCTTCCTCCTTGTGACACCCTTTTAGATATTTGAAAACCGCTATCATGTCCCCCCTTAATCTTCTTTTTTCCAAACTAAACAAGCCCAGTTCATGAAGCCTGGCTTCATAGGTCATGTTCTCTAAACCTTTAATCATTCTTGTCGCTCTTCTCTGTACCCTTTCCAATTTCTCCACATCTTTCTTGAAATGTGGCGCCCAGAACTGGACACAGTACTCCAGCTGAGGCCTAACTAGTGCAGAGTAGAGCGGCAGAATGACTTCACGAGTTTTGCTTACAACACACCTGTTGATACAACCTAGAATCATATTTGCTTTTTTTGCAACAGCATCACACTGTTGGCTCATATTCAACTTGTGGTCCACTATGACCCCTAGATCCCTTTCCGCCATGCTCCTTCCTAGACAGTCGCTTCCCATCTTGTATGTATGGAACTGATTGTTCCTTCCTAAGTGGAGCACTTTGCATTTCTCCTTATTAAACCTCATCCTGTTTACCTCTGACCATTTCTCTAACTTGCTAAGGTCATTTTGAATTATGTCCCTATCCTCCAAAGAAGTTGCAACCCCACCCAGTTTGGTATCATCTGCAAACTTAATAAGCGTACTCTCTATCCCAATATCTACATCATTGATGAAGATATTGAACAGTACGGGTCCCAAAACAGACCCTTGAGGAACTCCACTTGTTATCCCTTTCCAGCAGGATTTAGAACCGTTAACAACAACTCTCTGACTACGGTTATCCAGCCAATTATGCACCCACCTTATCGTGGCCCTATCTAAGTTATATTTGCCTAGTTTATCAATAAGAATATCATGCGAGACCGTATCAAATGCCTTACTAAAGTCTAGGTATATGACATCCACTGCTTCTCCCTTATCCACAAGGCTTGTTATCTTATCAAAGAAAGCTATCAGATTAGTTTGGCATGACTTGTTCTTCACAACCCCATGCTGGCTATTCCCTATCACTTTATTACCTTCCAAGTGTTTGCATATGATTTCATATGTTTGCATATGATTGCATATGGAAGAAGCTAGGAGTTAAAGTTCACAAAGAAACTTGGTTTCCACTGGGTCATCTCCCTTAAAATGGAGCTCAAGTCTTTCTTACAAATTCTGTCTCCTAGAGGAAAAGGAACTTCTGGGGGATGGATGGAGCAGAAAAGCTACCAAGTTACGTTTCAGACTACTCAGCTGCCTCATGGGAGACACATCAGGTGGTACTCTGAAGCTTACAGGCCCAACCAATGGAGAGAGACGAAAAAAAGGGACAATTGCTCCAGGGCACAGTGATTCAAAGGGGCCTGGTGCTACTGCACTAGTGGGTAATCGACCTTTGTCAGCTAAGTCTGGTGGTGGCCAACTATGCCAGGCCACAGCACTCCCCACCACAGAGGGGATGGCGGGCCAGAGAGTAGGACCCCACAGCCATGGTAGGAGTGGCAGGGGGACCTCACAGCAACAACAGGACCTTGTCCATGACCACAATGTGGCCAGACAGCAGGCCAGGTGACAGGACCCAAGTCAAAACAGTTAATTGGTTCAGTGCTCTCATTTAACCAGGTAACCATTTTACCATCCGTATGACATGGACATGGTTTTAAGGGTTAAGGTTAGAGAGGACCAGCTTGTCCCCCAAAGTGTGAGAGAGTGAGGGATTGTCATCTAAAATGGGTGGTAGATCCTTGATGATGTGTAGTAGAGGTTTTAGCTGGCGACTGTAGGTAATAGCTAGTGGTGTTCTGTTGCTTTCTTTGTAGGGTCCATCCTGTAGTAGGTAACTTTTGGGTACCTGCTAGGCCAGTCCTCTCTTACAGACAGACCCCTCCCCCCCAACCTGAAACAAATACATCCAACTTTATACCTCACAACAGAAACACTAACCCAGGAACCAGTCCCTACAATAAACCTCATTGCCAACTCTATCCACACATCTACACTAATGACACCATCACAGGACCCAACCACATCAGCTATGCCAGTAGGGGCTCATGCACCTGCACATCTACAAATGTGATAAGTGCCATCATGTGCCAGCAATCCCCCTCTGCTATGTGCATTGGACAAACCTGACTGTCTCTATGCAAAAGAGAAAATGGACACAAATCAGATATCAAGAATGGTAACATACACAAACCAGTGGGGGCATACTTTAACCTCCCTGGACATACAGTTACTGACTCGCAAGTTACTGTTCTTAGGCAAAAAAAACTTCAAAAACTGATTGCAATGTGAAACTGCAGAGCTGGAATTCATATGCAAATTTGATACCATCAGAATGGGTCTGAACAGAGACATGGAATAGCTCTCTCATTACAGTAAGTAATTTCCCCTTCAGGTACTCTCCTCTTCTCATCAGTGTTAGAGGTGAGCCACATCCACCCTGATTTAATTAGCACTGATGTTACACTGCCTTTCCTTCACTTCAAGTATCTGAGGAAGTGAGTTGTATCTTGGAATCTTATGCCCTAATACAGGTGCCACCAGACTCGTTGTTTTTGCTGACACAGATTAACGCCTGTCTCTCTGAAACCTGTTGGTATAGAAAGATGGCTGCTGTGGGTTTGCTAGGGAAACTTGGTTCATAGGGTGGCTGTTAGGGAGAAGTAGTGCTTGAGTGGTTCCTATGGAGACATGGTTACTAGGGAGATATGGTTGCAGGGTGGTTGCTATGGAGATTGGATTACCATGGTTGTTTCTGAGGAGACACGATTGCCAGGTTGGATGATAGGGAAATGTGATTTCTGTGGTGATTACAATGGAGGCATAGTTTCTGGAGTGGTTGCTTAGGAGATACTGTCACTATGGAGATGTGATTGCACGGTGGGTTTCCAGGAAGACTTGGTTGCTAGGGTGTTTACTCCGGAGAAGTAATTGCTGCTGTGAATGTTATGGAGCCATGGTTGCTAAGGAGACATGGTTGCCTGGTGGCTGCTAGGGAGAAGTGGTTGTTATGGAGACATGGTTACTAGACATGTCTGCTGGTTGTTACTCTGTAGATTGGTGTCTGCCATGGGGGGTGCTGGGGAGACGTGTTTACCAGATGGATTGTAGGGAGATGTGGTTTCCTTAATGGCTCCTAGGGAGACTTGGTTACTAAGCTGGTTACTAGGAAGAGGTGGTGCTGATGTGGTTGCTAGGGAGATGTGGTTAATTGGTGGTCGTTAGGGAGAAATAGTTACTGGTGTGGCTATTATAGAGATGCAGTTGCTAGGCAAATGTGATTGCCAGTTGGCTGATATGGGGATTTAGTTGCTGTGGTGGTTGCTAGAGACCTGTTTGCCAGGATGGATGGTAGAGAGTTATCTTTTCAGGGTGTTTTCTAGAGAAAGTTGGTGGCAGGATGGTTGCTATGGAGATTGGATTGCAGTGATGTTTGTTTGGGAGACTTGGTGGCCCGGGTGGATGGCAGGGAGACTTGGGTGCCTGTGTGATATCTATGGAGATGTGTTTGCCAAGGAGATGTGGTTGCTCTGTTGTTATGGAGATTGGGTTGCTGTGATGGTTGCTAGGGAGATTTGCTTGTCAGTGCAAATGGTAGGAAACCATGGTTTCTGGGGTGACTGGTAAGGAGACTTGGTTGTTGGGGTGGTTTCTTAGGAGACATGATTGTTCGTATAGGTGGTAGGGAGATTTGGTTGCTGGAGTGGTTGCTATGGAGATGTAGGTGCAAGGGAGATGTGCTTGGCAGTGGTTGCTACAGAAAACTGGCTGGTTGTGAGGATGCTGGCTGTCACATTATGGTGAACTGGCTCATGCATTCACAGTCCAGGCAGCAGGGTAATAGCATGAACATGCCAGAAGCCTATCTCCCTTCTGTGTTCCTGCTGCAAGAGGCTGAATACATGGGGAGGGGCTGTGTGAGGAGTTTGCATTGTGTTACCAGCATGTAAGTCTGAGGTGAATGACCCCTGAAATGCTGCCTGTGGGGCTATTGCTCTGACCTTTCACCAACAGGACTCTGCAGGACAGCACAAAGAATTGGTAGGGCAGGGGCTTTCCCAATGGGAGCCTGAAATCCCTGATAAAGTGTGGGATTTAATAAGGAGAAATCTTTGGGAGTACACAAACCATTTCTAGCCTTTACATCTAGTCACCTGCTCTCAAGCTACTGACATAAACTAGCCCACATGCACTGGTTTGAGGTTGGGGAACATCAATGAATACCAAAGCCCTTTGGCTTCTCATTCCCTACGGTCTGAGGAGTGCTGTCTACTCTGCAGCGGGGACTGCTATTGGTCTGGCGCAGGTCCAGGGCAGAAAGAGCCTCTATATATGCCTGGAGAGGGGAAAGCTGCATCACAAAGAGAGCTGGAGCCGTCTTGTCCTGCCTTCTGCCAGGAGCTGCTTGAAGCTGAGGAAATAACTGCTAGACAAAATGTGCAAAGGATTAGCTGCATTGCCACACACATGTCTGGAGAGGTGAGAACTGCTGGTTGTGCAGAGAACAATATGATTGTTGATTTCAGAGCAAGATTGAAATGGGGTATTTACACATGCAATTGCTTAGCCTGATGTTGTGCTGGAGGGAAGGGTGTGAAGCAAAATCCTGAATACTGCCCTGTCCCAGGCAAAGGACAATTCCAGCAAGTATGAGAGAGCAGGTTTCAGTATTGTTCCACAGAGCAGCTGGAGGGTTTTTTTTCTGAACTGTATGTTGATCTGACTGTAATGTACTAGCCTGCAGCACGTGTATGTAGAGTGCTGATGTATTATTGTGCTAAGGACCTAGGTGGAATCTTATTGAAGTCCGGGCTGTGTTGGGGTTGTGACAGGTATGTCAGTGCTCAGAAGGAGAAGGCATTGTTTGACAGAAAGATTGGACAGAGTCTAAGCATGGTAGTAAAGTCTTTCTATTGACTGGACCGAACCAACACCACTGCCCTTGGCACCAGCCTCATTTGCTCTGGTTTGGAAAGTACTTCAGTGGGATGTGTCTCTAGATCTGGACTGTACTTCCATGGGGCTGGGTCCAAAGCTGACACCCACACTGAGTGAAGGAGAGCAGGGAAGGTAGGTTTGCATAATTTTTGCTGGCACCCAGCATGGTTGCAAGTTTCATATCCCACAATCTGTGTAAAGCTCTGAGCAGGCAGTTTGGGTGACGGAAGAGTGCAGGCTCTAGGCTGGGGCACAGGGTAGGAGTGTAGGGGAGTGTGATGTAGTGTGGGTACCTTTCTGGTTGCTAGCCTTGGGCTGTGGGTGACTCCCACTGCCCGAGTAGCTGATGGGACAGGGAGGTAACCCCAGGGAGAGGAAGAAAGGAAGGTGGAATGCCGCCCCTGACTGGGGGGCAGGGCTAGAAGGGACCGTTTTTAGTTTGTCTGGGAAGCAGGGGAGAAGGAGCTAGGGAGGGGGCTGGGATTGTAGGGTCCAGCCACCCCCCCATCTCAAGGGGGGGGGCGCGCACTGAGGCCTGCCCTGTAACCAGATTACATCTGTGCTGTATCCTGGAGAAGCAATAAACTCCTCTATTCTACTGGCTGGTGGAGTCTGTTCAGGCCACTACAGGGGTGCAGGAGACGGGAAACCCCCAACGTGCCATCACAGAGAGGTTGTGGGGTATGGCTCTGGGAGGGAGTTTGGGTACGGAAAGGGGTCTGGGGTGCAGGTTCTAGGCTGCGGCATAGGGTTGGGATGTGGGAGGGGGAGTGGCGTATGGAACTAGGCAGGGGAATGAGATTGGGTTGCAGTGGGCAAGCTCTCCCAGCCCTCTCCCTAAAGGCAGCAGCAAGCTCCAGGGAGGGGGCCCGCCTCTTCTTCCCCTCCCTCATGACCTTTACCCAAGCCCTCCTCTTCCTCCTCTGTATATTCACAAATTATGCCTTTTTTCATGTTGCACAGCATCTGTGTCAGCTATCCTCTAAAAGAGCACGCCAACTCAGAGATTTCTTAACTAAACACGGAAATTGATAAAGATTGAACTACAGGTCAATCATTTGGGGTCACCAAATAAAATTAATAGGTAGCTAATTTGAAACAAACAAAAGGAAGTAGTTCTTCACACAGTGCAGTGTCAATCTGTGGAACTCCTTGCCAAAGGATGTTATGAAGACCAGGACTTTAACAGGGTTCAAAAAAAGAGCTAGATAAATTGATGGAGGATAGGTCGATCAATGATAGGTCCTATCAGTCAAGATGGGCTAGAATGGTGTCCTTAGCCTCTGTTTGACAGAAGGTGGGAATGGGTGACCAGGGAGGGATCACTTGCTGATTTCCTGCTATGTTTATTCCCTTTGGGGCACCGAACATTGTCCACTGTTAGGTGGACAGGACACTGGGCTAGATGGATGTGACCCAGTGGCCTGACACAGTATGGACATTCTTAAGTTCTGTTACAGCCCCCTAGTTGGAAGACAAACCACCTCATATCTTCAGCAGATTGGCACGGAGGGAGATCAATAACACAACTGACTTATCAGCAAGATACACATCCACATCAATACTTTACATCAACATCATATACACAATTGTGTCCAAGTCCCCTTAGCCACAACAGCAATTCAGCATTTATGCTATTTTTAAGTGTCCTTTCCCATACACACACTGTGGTTACAGTATACAGGGTAAACTGCACAGATGTTGAATAGTGTATTTTAGAAGGGGTTTTATATAAGTAGCTCGAAGTAGAACTGAGTGTGGAGTCCATTTCTGCTCATTCACACTCATGCGAAAGTCCTATCTGGCATCACCTGAATAAGAACTTCAGGATGTGGCCCACTATTATATGTAGTACCATAGGTGGGTTGAGCATAGCACCTTAGAGAGGGAAAAATCAGAGAAGAAATGGTAGGAGTAAAGACAAGAAAGCATCAGTGGGAAGATAACAGGAAAGCTGGTCTAAGAAGAAGTGAAAACATTTGTAGAGTCCTGCACGGATACGATATATGTATCCATATCCACATCTTCAGGGTTCAACAAATAATGTAATCGACTCGCCCGTGGTGAGTAGATTACAACCCGGAAGAGCCGGTGCAGAGCGATCTGTGCATGTGCAAAGCGCAGACCCATGCAGCTGGCAGGCAGGGCTTGCCGCTGCTTGGCAAGCCCTGCACATCTGCATCCACAAAAACGAGCCATGGATATAAAGCATATATCTGCAAATTTGCAGAGTTCAAGATACAAAATTTGAATTCACATTTGCAGCAGTAGCCACAAAACTGTAGGACAGATTTCTGCATTCACATCCCTAGATGTGGATATCAAGTGGATATCTGTGGATCTGCAGGTTTCTAAGCATTTGACATTTCAAAAGGAGCAGCAGGTGGCCATTCAAATTAAAATGATCCTCTGATAAGAGGGTTTTTTTTTCCTATCACTGTTTCTCCGGCAGTTCCCTTATGTTTCATCATAAGTTCCAACCCTCGCACACTCAGCATGATGCTCTTCCAAACCCTCCTCACCACCTCCTACACCCCTCTGCATGACACTCCCTCGAGCCCCTTCTGCCCATCCCTCACCCAAGCCCTCCCCCAGCTGCTGCTAGAGGTCCAGACAAGATTAGGTATGTGAACAACTAGTCAACTATCCAATAAGCAAATGCTTACTGGATAGTCGACACACTAGTTGACTGGTCGCTTCCTCCACCCTTTGCTGCCTCTATCAGAAAGAGACAGCAAGGGGAGGGAAGAAGAGGAGGTGCTTCAAAGCGGCAGCCCCACGGGGAGCCTGTGGCCAGACCCTCAGCTCCATGTGGTGCTGCCACTTTGAAATGAAGGATGTTAAATATCGGCTAATTAAATAGTTAATGCATTTTGCATCGACTATTCGATTAGCCGATTAATCTAAATGTAACACTCCTTATCAAAATAAGCCCCCCACTTTGGAGTCAAGGGAGGGCTGCCATATGCCTCCTCCCCTTCTCCCTTGCAAACTTAGTAGCTTCCTCAACCTGACCCCAACACCACTCTCCTGTAGCCAGCCGCAGTGAGAGAACGCAATGTAGAGTTGAAGGGGGCAGCTGCTTGGCGAATTGGGGGAGGTGAACAGGGTGGCAGGCAAGGCTCAGGGAGAGACCCAGTCCCAAATATTGGTGGAGCCAGGCTCCCAAGTAGGAATATTCCTGGAGCTTAGATACTATGGGCCCATATAACTCACCACTCTGATGAACAGGTAGTGCCAATGAGAGAAGCCACAGGAAATCCTGAAGGTTCAAGAAACAGCCTTTTGAGAGGCTGTCTTCACTTAAAATGAGCTGCTGTATCACTTCAGCAAAGACACTACTTATACAAACAGGAGAGCTTCTCCCATCAGTGGAGGTGCCCCGCCTCCCCAAGAGGCAGCAGCTAACTCTCCCATCCAAGCCCACCAATGGGGGCAGGCTGGAGGGGGCAAATGGGCAGTTGCCCCAGGGGCTGGTGATACAAAAGGGCCCAAAGCTCCCAGCTATCTCGATTGCAGCAGGGATGATGTCTGAAGCCTCTGGCCCTTTAAATTGCTACTAGAGCATTGCCCAGCGTGCTCTGGGCAGCACGAGGGCTGCCTAGCCACAGCCCTGCCCCTTTGCAGATGAGGCCCCATCCATTCTGGGGTCATGGAGCAGGCTCCCCCACCCTGCCTAATGGTCTGGCAGGCCCTGTTGCTCCCATCTCTTTAAACTGTCCTAGCCCCTGGTGCAGAAAGCACTATCTGTATCACTCAGAGAAATACATTTTCATACCCCTGAGCCATGGAGTTATACCCTCCTCATTTCCTAGACTAGACTTGGCCTTCATCACAATCCCTTCCTTCTTCCTCCTTGCTGGGGAGGAGAAAGAGAGGACAGTCACTTGTGCTAGCTAAGGCTACAAAAAGCCGACTCCATTCCCTGTACATGTGCAGAGAGCAGGCCTACATCACTGAGCACAAGGCACTAAAGTTCAGCCCATCTCCTGACCCTCCCCACACAGCTGCTATGGAAATTGGGGGCCAATTTTCCCATGGGTGAGATTGGCAGAGACCTTCGGAGGTTTTCACCTTCCGCTGCAGTATGGAGTCTGTGTGACTTGCAGATTTAAACTAGTGTAAATGGTGAAGTCTCTGTGCCTTGAAGTCTTTAAACCATGATTCTGTGATATCAGTGCTTCAACCAGAGGTACTGTTATCTTCTGTCTTTCAGGAGTGAGTGGGTGAGGTTCTCTGGCCTGCAGTGTGCAGGTCAGACGAGATGATCTGGATTGCCCCTTCTGATTTTACTACGAGTATCTGAGTAAGAACAGGCATTAGAATTTAAAAATCTGACCAGGTTCCTTAAGTGACTTCCCAAAAGATGTCAGAACATGTTAGTGTTTGAGCTGAGTGCATCTAATATTTATGTGATTTTGTTTCTTAGTATAAGAATCAGACACATTGATCCTTTAAAATAATTTCTAAGATATAACCTGCAAAACAAAACAAAAACCCTAGAGTTTTCAGTTGCCTAAGTAGCCCCTGGAATTACGGTA